GAGAGAGAGAGAGCAGCTAATAAAACAGACAGTTGTTTGTACTTACATTAGCCATTTTTGTTGTGAGGCTGACATGAATGAAAAACCCCAAAGGGGGCTCTTTCTTTATTTTGTGCACATCAATGAAAGCCAACAGCTGCATGTCAATAAAGTGAGCACTGCAGAATAAATTGTTATTGAGTTCAGATTCATTTTTGCCATTAGCATGTGCCAATAAAACTTCTTTTAAAAGCAGCTGGCTGGGGGTTATTGATCTCCCCAAATACACCTAAAATCGATCTATAAAGGGTCATATGCACCCATTAATCTGCACTATCAATCATTTTCTCAGTTAACAAACTAAATAGCCCAAGTACAGACTGCCCATCAGATCAAGCATTAAATATATATATTATTTAATATTATAAATTATTATTATCCCCAAAAACCTATAAAATGAAAAACAAGCAAAAATATGATTTGCAGCTCGTTTGCACCTTCCAGTTAGCTCTTGTTTTACTGGCATGTACTCAAGCTCCAAATGTGACAAGTGGCCCCTCTATCGCACAATGTCTCCCTTTTAGAGCCAGGAGTGAATAATTGACATCGTCATGATCCTTGGCCCACAATGCACTGCCTGTTTAGTGTCTTGTTTTTGTTTGTGTTTACAGCAAAGCCACGAACCGTCCGCCTGCAGTGCACAAGTCAGTTGTGTCGCAAAGCTGTAAAGCAGGTTCTCATATTTCTTACCTGAGTCTCTGCTCTGTGTTTATTTGAGCAAGTCAACGTGTTGCAAGATTGGAGATATTTGTTTATTTAGTTTTTGAATCTTTTTTTTTATTATTATTATTTTGGTCCAAACTGTAAATCTAAAGCGAGGCTGTTTTGTGACAGGTGTGATTTTTCCTCATAAGCAGCCCTTCATAAATCCCAGGAGAGCAGAGAGGACCCGGCTGAGGAGTCACGGAGGAATGTAGTCCTCCGGACCAGAAAAAAACCTCCAGCATTTCCTAAAATTACAGCCAGCACACTCCAGTGCCATCTCCCCGAAGCTCCGTGGGTCTATTTTGCCGACGGCGGAGGCATTATTGACAGGGGGAAAGCGCTGAAAGTTACCCACCTTCTCTGCCTGAAGCGCCCGTCACTCCGAGCAGTACGGCCCCGACAAACAGCAAACTTCTCGCCGCCTCCATCTGCGCAGACCCGGCGCTTCTAGTCCATCTGGGGGAAACAGAGATTAAGTTTTTGCATCTCATTTAGAGCTAACTGTCGTTTCTGGCACCGTGTGGAGTTGTTGTTCGTGTCCGAATCTCAGTTACTTCCTCCCATGAATTCCCTGCCTGTTGGTAGTAAGCGCGTAACAGGAGCGCAGGCGCGCTCCCGTGGCGTGAAGGCCTGAACGGGGAGTGGCAGGTTCAGTCAACCCGCCCTCACTCCGGTCTGACTTATTTAACCTATAACACGTTTCATTCTAATTATGCCTAAAAATGACCTTCAAACTTTAATTGCGCTTATTTCTCCCCAGAGGGCTCAAGTGGATCAAACTGTAAAATATGGAGGAACAATTAAAGCAATTAAACCATTTACCCCGCTCATGCATAATCTGTGAATATGCTACCACCTTTTTTAAAAATGTCAGTATCCCTTACTATCGCTTGCAAGTAAAGGGGAAAGTCAAATTGGTTATATGCAGGGGCGTTTCCGGGATTTTTTACAGTAGGGTGCCACAGAGTGGTGGGGGTCCGCATACAGAGTGTATCCAAAAAAGAATAACAAAAAAAAATCTTCTGATTTCAAAGTGTTTTAATTCCACAGCCCTTCACTGGAACAGTCGAAACCTGTACTGTTAGAAGAAGCGGATTTGTGAGTTTTGCACGGTTGTCAGTGGGTAGCAAAACAACAGAAGTGACTCCAGACATGCCCGCAAAAGTATGGGACGAGTTTGACTTTCGTATGAACATGTGCCGTGCATCCAGAAGAGGACGCATTAAACACTTGTGAACATTGTAAGTTTTGTTATGTTAAACTTTATTTTCAGTAATGTATTTAAAAAAAAAATAATACCACTAACATCTGTGTCCATTGCTTAAAAAAATACCTAGCCTTTTGGAATCGGATGATTTCTTTAGATGCACCCTGTGTTTATGAGAAGCAAAATCTGGGCTCTCAAAAAGTATTCTTGACCCTCAAATATGAAGCGTTAATTTTGAATAAAATGCACTTGAAATATGTAAACTCAAAGGTTTATTTATTCAAATAATTAACCATTAAGGAAAGTATGCTTGGTATAAGCTGACCACATACCAATCAAATAAGTTTCATTCACCAGATTGCATTAAATGTTTTACATTGTACATTTACATGTAATCAAATTACTCAAAGTTAGCATTTTGGGGGTAAATATTTTTATGAATAGAGCATTGACTTTGAAAAGTCTGGCTGTGATTTTCAGTCCCTGAACCCTATTACGACTGTATAACGTGAAAAGTGGTGCTTTACAAGAGTTTAAACATAATTTTCTGTTGGTCGATTATTTTGGAAAGTTAAAAACATTAATTTGATTATGTAAACGTAGTAATAATTGTTAAGTAACTTAGTAATGCAACGGCTGTATAACCATCATACATTTAAAGCGCCTCCAGTAAACATGCAGATTATGTAGAATGCATTTTCAGATTCATACACATTATAAAATTAAAAATTAGATCATAATTATTTACTAATTGATGTAAATATCACTGTTGCGCCTCAGGATGATTTTAATTACGGATATATTTCTGGGCAGCTTGTTATGATAAGCAGGTTGTGGATGGAGGCAGGACTCTGAGGCAGGCAGATTTAAAACAGAAAATTACCTTTATTAAAGGTAAAGAAAAGTCCAAAACACATTCCAGAAGTCCACGAGGAGAACATAAATAACAGAGGAATAACAGGAGAAACTAAATCTGACTGGAAACAGGCTGGAAACACAAGGTGATAACAAACAGACAATTTAACAATGAACAAAGGAAATACAGGACTATAAATACTCACACACTGAGTGCTAATCAAGGGAAGTGAACACTACTGGAAGAAATCTAGGCACAAGTAAACAGAATCTATGAAACTAAGAAAATAGCAATTACAGACTAGACACACATTTACACAGCAAATTAACATAAATGAACACCGGAGAAAATAAACTAAGGCACAAGGAATGAGATATAAAAAAATAACTTAATAAAAGAAACTAGATCTCAAAGAAACAGTGACTAACTCCAGATTATACTATAATTACAAGAAAATAAAGAAACTCCTGAACTGAAAACATAAACTGACAACTTAAAATACTGGGTCCAAAACCCAGGACCATGGCAGATCTATAATAATGCAATTTATCTAAAAAAAAAAGTAAGTAACTTAAGATTTAAAATGAATGGTATGGTGTAGATATTATAATATTTAACATTTACATATAAGTGCATTAGAACTTTATCTGAGTAAAGTACTAAGTTACACAGTTTAAAAAAACAAACATTAAAAAGCAGACAATGTCCTGGTAATTTTCTGTAATGTAAACGGTAAAATTCAGTGGATGTAATGTAACTCGTTTTAAAATGCTACATTGTACTGTATAGATTCCTACAGGTCCATGCTCTCTTCCAATGCTGGGCATTATACAGTTGTCATGGAGTCTTAGACGCATGTGGTTTTTGTGTCTTATTGTGTCTTCTTATTGGTTGTTCTGACACTTACTTTTTTAAAAATGTATTTTAGTCTTTTCTGTTGTACATCCCATTTTTCTATTTTTCTATGATGAGCACTTAAATAAAGTCACTTTTGTTACACCACATCCATGATGTAATACTGATCCCCAAACATCCATGAAACCCTACAATGTGAATACATTTCAGATTAAAAGGGGACATCCGGATATTTGAAAAGTGTTAAAGTTAAATTGCCTTTTTTTAAAAAATTACATTAAATGTGCATTACCATATATGGATAGACCCACATCAAGAGTTTATTTAGAAACATTACCTAACAATTATCCCACTAACACGATATTTCACCAAATCAACATGTAGTATTAAATGCCTGTTTAAAAGAACAACACATTTTACAATAACTGTGTCAAAACACATAATTGCCAAATTCAAACATATTTAATTTGAATTTCACTGAGTTTTGTAGATGTTGAAAAACTCCCTGTCTGATTTATTAAATGTGAAAAGGCAACGATTACACTCTTAGCTGCATTATTTCATTATAAATCACACTGACTGATATCAATGTGTTTACTTTTGCAAACTGGCAAATTTTTAGATTTAAGTCTTGCTTTGTATATCAACATGTTTGACTATTAAAACTTTATTAATATTTAAGGAATGAATCAAATCAACATTTTAGATCAAAAGGTGAATTCTTTGCGTGATACAAGCTTGGAGTGTCTTCATATTTCTTCTGCTTTTCTCATGCTCTTCATTCACGGTCACAAATCAGGAGTTGAAGGAGGAAGAATAAACTCTATTCATCCCAATCTATCGTCTCTCCCCACCCACAGAAGCCCGGGTCAGAGTCCAGCCTCCTGCACAGAGCTATCAGAAAACAACAATAAGCTACACACTGAGCCACACAGACCACAAGTTGCGGTCCGTTCGCGAAGCTGAGTGTTGCTAGTGAGGCTGAAATATTTAGTTCCCACAGAAAAAAAAAGTCAGTTCAGTATTCTGGTTGGAAGATTTTCCCAGCAGTGAACTTTAAGTCTTAAACTTTAAGTGTTTGTTGGCTCTGTATGCGACTCCTCGTTTAAGCTGCATTTGAAAGCAAGCTGTGCTACAATAAAACCTGATGCAGTGGTCAGCAATTTTCATCGCACTCGATGGTGGAAATCCCTTCAGAAAACATGGCTGTAATTCTCAGGGACACATAAAACATGCGTTAAAAAAAGAGGTCTGCATGGGTTAAAAGGTGAGGAGGCCAGGAAGTGGGTGAGAGATAATGTGTTCAAGTGAGAGAGTCCAAGGACAACTGCAGTAAAACCCAGGGAAAATATACAGAAAAGAAGTCATTACCAAAGAACATCATAAATTCACTCATAGTTCAGTTCCCTGACCGGCCAGGTATTTAGATTTGGCATGAGAGAAGAAATAAGAAATACAGTGTGGGACTCTTCAAGGACAAGAAAACCATATTGTTTCCCACTGCTGCTCATAAATCCAAATACAAGTCTAAAGGAATCTGCCTTGATTATATCAGAGACACAATGAAGGTATCTCTGCATATATCACTGGCACAAATAGTACAAGGTCAGCAAGCCCTTTAGACTGCAGTGTAATAGGGGAGGGACGAACCACAGACTATACATGTCACTTCTCTGCTCACTTTTCCTGCTCTGTTGATACCTCTAGCTGTGAACATTTCATGTATTTTAACACAGGTTTAGCGTAACATTTCACTCCTTCAAAACCTCCACCTAAATACAAGAAAAAAATAAGGATTACTTGAACTTTTATAAGTATACGTGGGAGGAAATGGAAATACATCAGTGCTTTGTAAGAGACACTCACAGGCCTGTGAAGTGGATAAACAGCTCAGTGCATTTAGGCATGTAGACAGCTCGTGTCAGAGGTCAGAGGAGAACAACTAGATTACAACTAGGCAAAAGTAACTAAACTAATCTCTAGTTACAGGATCTCTGGAAGCACATTGTCTACAGCAGCAGAAGACCACACCGGGTGCCATTCCTGTCAGCTAAGGACAGGAAACTGAAGGCAAGCAAACCAAAACTGAACAACAGAGGCATAAAAAGAGCTGCTGGGTCTGATGAGTCTAAATGTCTATTTTGACAATCAGATGGTAGGGTCAGAATGTGGTGCAAACAACATGAAACCATGATTTCACCATGTTTTGTATCAACAGTTCAGGTTGCTGATGGTGTTAAGAGATATATTTGGGCTCCTCCTTACTAATTCAGCTTACCTCCTTGTTGTTTCCACCCATACCCATCCCTTTATGACCACAGTGTGTGATCGTCTGGTGGCTGCTTCCAGCAGGACAACATGCCTAAGGTGTCAAAGTTCAGTCATCTCAAACTGGTCTCTGGAACATCACAATGAGTTCACTGTTCTCAAATGGCCTCTACAATCACCAGATTCCAATCCAATAGACTTTTTGGATGTGGATGAATGTGAGATGCTCATCATTGATGTGGCAAATCTGCAGCAACTGTTTGCCATTAAAACTGCTACTTTAGAGTTCCCTTAAATATATTTTTACTGTAAAAATATAACATCATATGCTTTCCAGAGACTTTACATCACATCTTTTCTGAACTATAAAAGGATATCAGATTTGTTGTAATGTCCCCTCTGTCCCTGCACTTCACAGTCACTGAAACACTGCTCTG